TAGAGAAAGATGAGGTCTGGCTATTGATTTCTCTGAACACATAAGTATGTTTTAGCAATGATTTAATTCATTGAATTGCTTTTCATATACAAATGGTAATTTTAAAACACAAGTGTGTTGATTAGGCTAGATGGGGTTTTAGAATCTCTTTAATATGTCTGCTGAGTGGGGAGTAGTTTCTGGGCAGAAGGGAGAAGACTTATAGATGGTTCTTCATTTGTGTCCCTGATGTATTTGTAAGCATTCAGAAAATTGATAGGAGGGTGGCATTTAAAATCATTTTTCAAATAATTGATATTATTTTTTAAATTAATTATTGATGACCTACCATGTTCCTGACAATATATTAAGCATTGTGCATCAATTTCACTGTCCTTTTCTTTAAGGAAATGAGAATTAAGATGGAGAAAATGAGCTGGGTGCCAGTGGTACACACCTGTAACTCTACCTACTCAGGAGGCTAAGACTTGATCTTGATTTGATGCTATCCCAGGCAATAAAGTCCATTAGACTCTTATCTCTGATTAGTCAGCAAGAAGCCAAAAAGGGAACTGCGGTTCACAAGGTAGAGCGCTAGTCTCAAGTATAAAAATAAATAAATAAAAATAAATAAAGCTCAGAGACAGTGCCCAGACCCTGAATTCAAGCCCCAGGACCAGTACAAAAAAAAAGCAACATGCTAGGGGGCAAAAGTAGTTTTGCACAGTGATAAGGTTAGTTGAAATTGACAAGGATTTTCAAAAGGTAGCTGTGTCATACACAGTTGATTATCAGTGAAAGCTTCATGTACAAGCTGGGGTTTGAGTCAGGCTTCGGAGGAAACATGTTCTTGGAATGTGTGGTGCATCTTTCCTGGGGAGAACAAATAAAGGGGTTTAAGTAACAACACAGACAACGTAAATTGTAGGGTGTACAGTGTGAGATTAAGTTTTAGCATAAGATATATGAAGAACAATGGAGAATGATAGGAACTAATGTTAGCAATGGAAGGTTTAAATCTGGGTAGGACCTAAGATGGCCTCCTTGAGCCAGAGTATTTGAACTGGTGAGAAATAAAATCATCTATCTGATCAAGTTTCATTTTGAGCTAGCTGTTGGTGGTACAAATTTTTAATCCTAGCTCACTCAGGACACTGAGATCTAAACACTATGGTTAGATGCCAGCCTGGGCAGGAAATTCCATGAGACTTCTATCTCAAATTAACCAGTAAGTATCTGGAAGTGAAGGTGTGGTGTAATTCCTAGAGCCCAGCCTTGAGTGAAAAAAAAAAAGTCAAACTAGAAAACAAAGCTCTGGGTTCAAGTTCCAGTATTGGCTTACATACCAAAATAGAGGTTTCACATTTTGTGTTGGAAATATATCAGTGCACAATCTGTGTTTTGGATGATGCAGGTTCCAATTCTTGGACATGTGACCTATGCCCTCTTATAGGGCTCTGTTTCAGGACAAACTCACACTTGATCTAATGCCCTGCAACGGCCAGATAGAAATTCTTCATACTTTTCAAACAAGCAACACCGCATCGGCATTTTTCTCTGAGCCCTGTAAATTATGTCTCCTCTCATGGTATTGTGACATGAAAATGCCTGGGAAGTAGTGAACTACACCTTGGTCAGGAGGCTTTGTCATCTATCCATATACAGGAGTTACAACATTATATAAGACCAGCACTATGCTTATATAACGACACTGACTCTAAGCTTAAATCTTTATTACTGTTTTCTCTAAAAGTCATGACTTCTACAGCTGCCACAGGCCTAAGGTAAATATCATTTTTCAGTCTCCTAGTTTTCCAGGTGATAAATTAAGAAAACACTTTAGAAACATTTTCTCATTTATAAGCTGGCTCCTGGAGTCTGCCTAGCAAATCATGAGCTCTACACCCCCTGCAGGCCTAAGAAATTAAATTCTGAGCAAACCTCTACCAATTATTTCCCCAATAAAATTGTGTAAAAATATAGCTCTATGTTGGAAAACATCAATGGCTAAACCAGACAGAGTCTGTTGTGTATTTCCTTTTCTGAATCTCTAAACATATTTAAGGTGATTTTTTTGTTATTCCTATAAACTCGATGTCATTTGCTTTCTCGCTCTTCTATACTGTGAACCTGTTAGGATTTTTCTCTAACTTCTATTTGTTTAATTTCTTTCTTTTCTTTTCTATTGATGAATACAAGTTATTTGTCCAACATTTCAATGAGGTTTAATTTATAAAATGCCAGCTTTCCTAATCTTCGTCTCATTCACCTTCTCATTTGATCACTTTTAACAGTTTTACAGCCACTCTGAAAGATATTTACCTTTTACTCATTTCCACATACACTAGCAGGAGACACAACCTACCTGCTTTCCTTCCTTCCTTCCTTCTTTCCTTCCTTCCTTCCTTCCTTCCTTCCTTCCTTCCTTCCTTCCTTCCTTCCTTCCTTCCTTCCTTCTTCCTTCCTTCCCTACCTCCTTCCCTCCTTTCCTCTTTTTCTTCCTTCCTTCCTTCCTGCCTTTGTGCCTGCCTGCTTTCCTGCCTGCCTGCCTTCCTGTCTGCCTGCCTGCCTGCCTGCTTGCTTGCTTTCTTTTCTTTCCTTCTTTCTTTCTTTCTTTCCTTTCTTTCTTTCTTTCCTTTCTTTCTTTCTTTCTTTTCTCTTTCTTTCTTTCTTTCTTTCTTTCTTTCTTTCTTTCTTTCTTTCTTTCTTTCTTTCTTTCTTTCTTTCTTTCTTTCTTTCTTTCTTTCTTTCTTTCTTTCTTTCTTCTCTTATAGGTCTGGGGCTTGAACTCAGGGTGTGGGAACTGTTGATTAGTGTTTTGGCTTAAGGGTGCCACACTATCACTTGAGCTACAGCTCCACTTCCACCTTTTTTGGTGGTTATTTGGAGATCTCAAATTCCTCTGAATGAGTAGAGACTCATATCCTAAAATGTAAGTTCTTAGGAAAATAAAGATGCCCTTTGATGTAAACAATTTTCACCATCTCCTTAAACGCACAATAAAAGCTACACAAGCCAGAGATTTTGCTTAAGAACTGGACATCCATAAAAGGAAGACTGAAACTGGAACATTGTGTGTCACCTTGTACTCATATCAGTTCAAAATGGATTAAACACCTCAATGTAAGACATAAAACCTCAAAACTACTACAGAAAGAAGTAGGGGAAACTTTGGCATAGGCAGAAACTTTCTGAGTAGAGTTTCAAAGGCTCAGCAAATAGAAGAGGGAATTGACAAATGGAATTGTAGCAAGCCTAAAAGTTTTTGCAGAATGAAGGACATAGTTACTAACCTAAAAAGACAGCCTACAGAATGAGAGATCTTTGCCCAATGATTATCTGTCAAGGGTCTAACACCAGAATATACAAGGAGCTCAAGAACCTGAACCTCTAAAGAATCAATAACCCAATTAATAAGTGGGCAACAACACTAAATAGAGCCTTCTCAGGGCAGAAGAAGCACAGAACTTGTGGAACAAAGGGTCAACGAATTCAGCAGTGATACTTTACAACTTGGAGGGAGAGGGATGGGAGAGGAATAATGGGAGAAAATGAGGGGTTGACATTGTTCATAAAGAAATCTATTCATTACCTGAGTTATATAATTGTAACCCATCTGTATGTCACCTTTAGAAAACAATTTAAATTTAAAATGTCCAATAAGCATATTGAGAAATACTCAAAATCTCTGGCCATAAAGAAAATTAATTTTTTCTATATCTAGGAATTCTTCAGATCCTAACTTTGATTTTACAGTCAATATTCTTTGGATATTCAGCAGACATCTTTATTGCCATTGAATTTTTCCCTTCCTGGAGACCTCACTACCCAGGTCTCACTACACACTTCTTTATCCAGTTGTTGCACAGGTGCCCAAAATGAGGGCTCATATTTAATTAACAATGGCAAAATGAAGTTGAAGTTTTTGATTTGAGTGGTATTTCTTGAGTAATGGGTTTCCATGTAGAATGTCAGGTGAATTCTTGGATTTGCAGACCTCCTGGTTTTCAGTTTTCTTAGACATTTGCTGCCAATCTATTCTTATTTATTATGAATATATATCCTATTTCCCTACTTGAAGGGAAATGATTGTGCACCAAATGGGTAAGATATCTGAAGTCTCAGCGATGGTAATACCATCCTTTGTGTCAGATCCTTCTGTGAGCTTTCCCTTCAGGATTTTTGTTTCTTGTAGGAATGAGGGAGGAGCAAGATCTGGCAGACACATGGGCTAGACTAAGGGATTCAGGAGGACAGACATCTTTACAAATAGACTTTCATCAGTGCTTCCTACAAAGAGCCCATACGTCACCCCCTCAGACTTCAATAGCTGGAACTGCCAGTTTTTAAGCCTTGCTGGTTTCCGTGGCATTGCATGCATTACTTCTCAGCATCTTTGCTGTAGTTTAACCATTGTTTCCTCATGTCTGTGATGTCAGTTCACACTTGGTAGTCTGATTTAGCATTGGTTGTTTTTGTTTTGTTTGGTTTTATTATTGGTGTGTGGGGATATTATCCTTAGGCTTTTGTGCTCATGACTAGTTAGTGCTCTACCCCTTGAGCCAAAGCTCTATTTCTGGCTTTCTTGGTGATGGATTGGAAATAAAAGTGTGGTGACTCTTTGCTAATTGGGCTGGCTTTGAACTTTGATCCTTAAACCACAATCTTCTGAGCAAATTCTAAAATCTCAGTACTGTCAATTCTCTTGCCAACCTCCCCAAACCTCACCACTCCCTGCTTTTTAAAAATTCACTTTCTTACTACTATTGCTGTCATTCTAGGGGACAATTTTGGGGAACACAGAGGTAAGGCATGTGAACAATCTTCTATCTTTCACTAGGACAGATATTGTGTTTGGACTAAACTTCTTAATAAAGTCTCTAAATGCATTCTCAGTCAGAAGACAAAGCATAACTAAATAAATAAATGAACAAATGAAAATTTATTGCTCATAATTTAAATACTCATTGCAAATAACATTTCTGCTTGCTAAAGATTGTCTCTTTCACTCTTGAATGCAGATGGGAACTTTAGACAAAGCAGGACAAACCTCACCTCCTTGGTAGTACAGCCCATCTCTGCCTCCCTGGTGGAAAAACTGATCTCGTTGCCAGCAGCGACAACCAACAAGGATCTCTGTACCCCTCTAGAACTTCCACAGAAAGGTGAAGTATTTAATATCAGTTTTGTGTGTCCTGTAGATTTTGGGAAGACTGATTATTTTATAAAACTCTTCAATGGACATGTTTATCATTATTCATTGCAAAAACCATTGGCTTTTGCTAAAGGGAACATTTATCTAATCAGTGTCTCTCTTATGGACATGTTTAGAAAGTAATTTTGATTAACTATGAGCACATAGAGGTTAAGAAAGAAGAAGAAAAAGGCATTCTGAGTAGCTACACAGAAAACTAGCTTCACAAAATAAAGCGTTTTGAGCATGCAGGAAAATCAACTCAGCATAGCTTCTCAGTTTCAGCTTCAACAGTATCATTACCTGCCAGGATTCAGTGAATATCAGACAGCTATGTGAGGGATGAAGCCTTTTAGCATAAAGCACTAAAGCCTAATTCCTGATATTGACTAAGAAATCCCTCTGTCTCTACACATCATCACCTAACTGTTTGTCAGGCCTTGGTGGACCCCATACACTAAAACTGAGGTAGTTAAGCTTCCAGTAATGGGATGAAAGCCAAGGGCAAAGCTGCCTCCAGCTTCTGCATTCAAGTTCTAAAGAAAAGACTGTCTTTACATATGCTTAGGTTTGCCTCTAGTTGTTATGTTCTACCAGTTCAGGGCTACATGTCATTACTTTATTTTATTTTTGTATCCAGATCTAGGGGCTCAACTAGATGTGTTTTATCACTTTTTCTCTTGGCAACGAAAGTATTTAAAGGATGTTTTGAAGAAACCTTTTCTAAAAGAAATCTGAACTCCAGAATAGCTTGCTTTTATATACATACTTCACAACATCCTTCAGAGAGCCTCCTAAACTAATAATCAATAGAATCTAAGCAACAATAACAAGTTTATGTCCTCAAAGTAAGAATGTAGAAGAATTCTAGCAGTCTTGTTTTGCTTTGTTTCTGTCATCTGCTCTGAGCTAAGGAAACTTAATGTGGGCTCTGTGCAAACGCAGAAACAGTGCAATATAAATAGCATGTGGGAAAGAAAGCACTGGACTGAAGGGCTAAATGCAGAACCAAGTTTAATTGATTCTACATATGTAATTAGAGCCTCTAATTCATTTCAAGCCCTACTTATTCATGTCAGTTCTCTAGGAGAAGCCTTTGCTTGTCTCTATAAGAGGACAGGTAGCATTCTTCTCAAGTCATGGGAATAAAGTTATGAAATACATTTCTATAATTTCCTATATTGTAACATGGCTGGTGAATTAGCAAATCTCTTCCTCATCAAATAGCTATATCTATTATCTTCTCAATAGGCAAATAATGTTGTAGTAAAGCAAAATAATGCTCTAAGGATGTATCTCCATGATAAATTACCTACATGTAAGACATATGCTAAAACTCATTTTCAATTCCAGGGTTAAAGAAGTAATAAATACAGGTATGTTTTCTAATGAATTATGTCATATCAAATTTTTTCATGAGCATAATAGAGGTTGTTTTTTTAGAATAATTCAGACAAGTATACTTAAATTTGGGGGAAGAAATTTCATATTATATACATATTCATAATGCACTTGATCAAATTCAGAGGAGTTTCATTGTGCTATTTCCTTGACTTCCTATGAAGTATTTTGATTAAATTCACTCCTATATTACAGTTACTTTATAAACACCCTCCATTTTGCTAATTTCTTTATAAGAATTTATAGTGGGTTTTGTTGACATATATAGGTATATACATATATATATATATATAGTAATTTTTGTTTTTCAGAGCTTGACTTACCTCACTTAACATGACAATCTCTATTTCCACCAATTTTCCTGTAAATTTTATAAATTGAAACACTGAGCAAGACATTTAAAATTCTCAAATACTAATTGTGCAATTTTAGTAATAGGAGAAATTGAAACCAGTCTTAATATTGCATAATGATAAGTTTCCCTAAGTAAAATTGGATGACAATACTCATGATTTTTCTCCAAGATAATTATCTTTGAAGTTTCCAATAAACATGTAAAATCATTAGTTGCTCAAGATGATATATATGATGATGGTAGCTGAATAGATATGAAATGAAGTCCTGTTCTTTCCAGCAATAAGAGCAGTGACTAATTGTTCTTAGTTTACTTCATGGTTTATATATTGCAGATAATTTAAGGCATATTGTTAATGTATCTTGTTGAATTTTGTAAGCATATTTCCCAAGTTTTCTCTCAGTTTTAGGAAGCAAATAGTCACTAGTCAAGTTTGAAAGTTAGTATTTAAAAACACAGCTGTGAAAGGTGCAAAGAAGCCAATTATTTACCAAACCTATGTAACACTTTATGTACACTGAATAAGAATTTCCTAAAACCCAGCTGATAATGTAATAGAATTTCCCATGACATGTTCTTTATGAACATCTGCTGTCCAGTTTCTCTAGAAACTTTTGCTAACATTGTCTAAGAATTCCATACTACGAACAATAGAGTTAGATCTTAATAGGTTTAAGTCTGTGGCATATCATATTAACCATATTATAACAATTGAAGAATGACTCAAGTCTGGCCAAACAAGGTAAAGACTCAATTTCTGAACTTTGTTTGAAGAGAACCAAAAGTGAACAAGAAAATATGTTCCTCCAGAATCTTTGGTAGCTATCTGGGACCATAAGGATATCCTATAGGCAAATAGAGCCAACATGAGAATTACTTGGGGGTAGTAGAGGGATTCTTATACTTACCATTTATCTCTAAATAAAGTTTTATGTAAAGCTAGATCTAATGTACTCATATACATGAGTCAATGAATTGCTTCTTATATTTCTCCAAATTTATGTGTTTTTCAATTATCTTCAACTCAAAGTTATATAACTGATACCATAAAAACAACTAAACAAAGGAATTAAATATGTGCATTTATGAACCAGCTTAGGAAAGTAGAATGAGAATTATTTGGAGATCCCAGAAAGAATTAAGATATTTGCCTGAAGAATGAAATAAGGTTAAGGAGAAATGACTTTTTTCTCAAATAAATGTGTTTATTTTCTCAAATAATATGATTATTATTGATTAGGTAATTGGATACTGACTCACATTTCATTTTCTCTTGTCTTTATCTTTGTATTCATAACTTGTATCATCACTTGTTAAGCTGAGGTTGAATCAGAGCATGGAGTCTTAATTGTTGAATAAAATTGGAGATTTTGGTAAATCAATGAATACTATAAATATAATGAAACTGATATAATTTATTGTTAAAAGCAAAAAATGAGTAAAGTCTAAAAAGAAATATTTTGATATATTGATGAACTCATTATTTTGAAAATGATGCTTGCTTATATGTTGCATAAAACTTAACATTGATGATCTTTTATATATTATTTCCTATTCACAATTAAGTTACACTTCTCTTTAGCAAAAAGTAGTTTTATTGGAATAAGATACCATCTACTTCATAAACACATTTATAACCATAGATATTTCAAATATATTTTGAATATTTTCCTTTCCAATTTGTTAGTGTACTTAAAAGTACTCACTATTAGTGGAGCTTTGAAAAATATATTGACTATTATAACTATTATAAGTTGTGTCTATACAAACATTTGCTCACAAATAGTTTATTTTCACTTAAAAAATCCATTGACAAGAAATGTTAGTATGCTTTTATCCTGTGTTATTTTTTGTTAGTTATGAAACTTCAAGTCATTTAAAGCTACCTCAAGATGACAAATCCAGTAATACATAATTATGTTCTGGATAAAAAGAAATTCTTAGCATTATCTATTTTTATGTTTGTATGTATGTGTCTATTGATCTCTACCTAACATCTATCAGCTGTTATCTACCTATCATCATCCATCTGTCTATCTAAATATACATATAGAGATCTCTATGTCTGTATAGACCTGTCTATATATCTATCAATCTATAATCTATTTATCTATCTATCTACATAGTGGAATGTTTTTGTTCTGATATAGCATTACTTTAATTGTCAATATAATAATTAACCTTCTTGCTAGTACAAAAGGAAATATTCAATAAACCAAAATAAACAGGAAAATTAAAATCTTACTTTTGAACAGAGTTGGTGCACTAGCTTTCTGATATTCTTAAAAAAAATACTTGAGATTAATAGCTTTTCAGAAGGAATAGTTTAGTTTGGCTCACAATGTTCTGGATTTGAGTCCATGATCAGTTTCCCTCTTGCTTTTGGCAAGGCAACATGTCATGGGATGGAGTTTGTGGCAGGGGAGGCTGCACTCCTGATGGAGGCCAGAAAGTAAGGTGAGAAACAGATTAAAATGTCTACATCAGGGTATATATCCCCAAAAGACTTACTTATTCCCACTCTGGTCACCTCCTGAAAGTTCAACTGTATCCCTATTACACCCATAACTGGTGACCTAACTTTGTTCCTTGGGTCTCCAATTCAGGCTTCTCCAAACCTTAGCTCTGGGGTTCAATAACTTCCAGAAATCCAAATGGAAGAAAATATCCAGAAAAAAAGATGACAAACTTTCTAATTTGTACAGATGATTTCTATCTAACATGTATATGGTTGTATGGTAGCATCTCACTGTAAAAATCCAGCACGCAAGATCACTTTAGGAAAGACTGATAGATGTGGAGATACAGCAGCCTAGACGTTTAGAAGTAGGAAACTTGGCAAGGGTGACACTCAATTTTACAGCTCTTCAAGTGGGCAATTGCCCCATGAATCTGAGACTGGGCTGGAAGATGAGAGCAGTAATCTGTAGAACTGGAGATCAGCATTCATGAGCTATCAGTCTGAAGTTCTCAGACAAAAGAGAACAAAGTGTCAGAATTCCCTTTGAAGGACTATTCATCAAGGCTCTTTCAGAGTGTGCATAGGTGGGAAGCTTATTGTCCAAAGTCCACAGAAAGTGCAGTGATCTTGGTTCCCCGGGAGTGCAGGTTGGGCTGAGGGTGACAGTACTGTCATTCTCCTAGAACTTTCCCAGAGTCCAGCTTCTTATTTCAACAGTTTTGATCGGATAAAGAATTCACCCTAGACTTAGTAT